AATGCCTCAATTTTACAATGCACATATATTGCTTTGTTTTCTTGCAATAAAATTCTTTTTTTGATCTTTGAAATTCTGACATTCAAATATATTGATTGATTATTGAATTCTGCCAGGTTATAGATCCATGAAAGTAGCATATTAATTGTCATTATTTTTACTTTGATACGATTTTCTCACTGCCACCTTTAAAGCGGTGCTCTGATTTAATGGGAATTCAACTTTTTTAGATTGTGTAATGTTCAGAAGTGTCGTCATTTTTCCCTGTAATGCAAAAATGAAAGAATTTCGAACTAAAATATCGAGTAAATATCCAGGAAAAAGCCTCGGACTTTTCAACTAAATTGCTGTTGTTTTTCTTCAAAAACAAAATGAAACAAAAATATACATAGGAGAATTACTGTTCTGTATACTTCCTCCTCAACCAACTTATTCATGCATACCTGCTTTTCTTTCAAATAACCGACAATTCTTGCCAACATAGTGTTCATTTGAAAGAAAAGCATAATTTTGAAATAGAGCAAAGAATTCCAAGAAATATGTCATGCTGTGCATGTTTTGAACACTAAATTTTTCTCTACAGAAAGTTTTGCTTTTTGATGAAGTTTGAATGCTGCACCATTCAGTTTGATTTTTTCTTCAATTGTTTGAATAATCTCTATGACTTATGCACAGAATCATGGACAAGAATGTTTTTATACAGTACTAAAATTGCACCCAAAGAGGAGTAAATAATACGAGATTTTTATAATATAGTGCGCCAGTGGAACAACAGCTCGGACCAAGAAAGAAACTCGTTAGAGCGGAAAATCCGTTAAAACGAGAACCCTTGTAACGGAATTTCATTTTATTTAACGATGCCTGAGTTTAAACAAAAACAAGGTTTCGGACGATAACGGCCTCAGCTGAATCAGGACCACTTCATTTCCCGAAATGAAAATAATCATAGATTGATCATAATATCGACTCACTTTTGTAAGGGGGAAGAGCATTGAGAGGACTGAGCAACCCACTGCCTCCGAGAACCTCGTTGACCCAAGAACTCTGGGCAACGGTCGCGAACCCGGCTGTGCTCGTCGCCCGATCCACATACTTGACCACGTCACTCA